AATTAAAGACTTAAATGTAAACTTAACTCATTTCAATACTCTTTCTTATGCATAAAAAATTTAATACCTCTTCAATGTGCTATATCCATTTGCTTGTGTTTGTGATTATACTTCTATAGATCCAATCTCAGAAAAATTATTCTGTATTCAATAAAGGCAATAAGATGGATGGATGATTTAGTTCCTACCTTCATTTTCCCTGTCTCGAGGTCACTGTCCTATCCTATCTCATGTTCGCTGTCTGAAGACTATTGGTATGTATATTTTATCAAAAATTTCTTAGTTTAGTTAAGCCAAGAATACAAACCTAGTCCCTATTATGCTATGTGTCTGGAATAAGTTCCAGTGTTATAAAAACATATGAATTCTAATGTGAATGCCAGTCAAAGTAGACTTCACAGGAAAATCAGTACAAAAGAGAAAGAGAAACATTTTATAATGATAAAATAATTGATTCATTTAAAAGACAAAACAATTTGAAATGCATATGCTCTTAATAATATAACTTCAAATTATATAAAGTTAAATTTTTATATAGCTAGAAAGAACAGCCAAATTCATAATCTAACGATTTCAAGTGGGTTTTATACCAGAGATGCAGGGATGGTTTAACATATACAAGTCATAAATGTGATACATCACATAAACATAATTAAAAACAAAAATTACATGATCATCTCAATAGACACAGAAAAAGCATTTGGCAAAATTCAGAATCCCTTTATGATTAAAATCCTCAGCAAAATTGGCATAGAAGGGGCCTACTTCAAGGTGATACAAGCCATCTATAACAAACCCACAGTCAATCAACATCATACTGAATAGGGAAAAGTTTAAAACCATTCCCCCTAAGAATATGATGCCTGCTCACCACATCTATTAATCATAGTTCTGGAAGTCCTAGCCAGAGCAATCAGACAAAAGAAAGAAAGAAAGGGCATCCAAATCAGTAAAGAGGAGGTCAAACTGTCACTGATTTCTAATGATATTATTATATCTAGATAACTCTGAAGACTTATCTAAAGAGCTCCTAGATGTGATAAATTCAGTTAAGTTTCAGGATGCAAAAATCAATGTACACAAATCATCAGCACTGCTATATACCAGCAACAACCAAGCTGAGAATCAAATCAACAACTTAATCCCTTTTCCAACAATTGCCATATATATACACACACATATATACGCGTGTATATATATACGTATATGCATATACACGTATATATGTGTGTACATACACGTATATAAGTGTGTGTGTGTATATATATATGTATATTTGAGGAACATACAAAGCCAAGGAGGTGAAAGAACTCTTCAAGGAAAACTACAAAAAACTGCTGAAAAATATCATTGACAACAGAAACAAATAGATAACACATCTCATGCTAATGGATGGGTAGAATCAATATTGTGAAAGTGACCATACTGTCCAAAGCAATATACAGATTCAATGCAATTGAATCATCAAATACCATCATCATTCTTCACAAAACTAGAAAAAACAATCCTAAAATTCATATAGAACCAAAAAAGATCCTGCCTAGCCAAAGCAAGATGAAACAAAAATAATGAATCTGGAGGTGTCACATTACCCAACTTCAAACTATATTAGAAGGCTATCCTTACCAAAACAACATGGTACTTGTATAAAAATAGGTACATAGACCAATGAAACAGAATAGAGAACCCCGAAATGAAACCAAACACTTAGCAGCCAACTGATCTTCGACAAAGCAAATAAAAACGTAAAGTTTGGAAAAGACACCCTATTCAACAAACGGTAATGGAATATTTGGAAAGCCACATAAAGAAGAATGAGACTGAATTCTCATCTCTCATCTTATGCAAAAATCAACTCAAGGTGGATCAAAGACTTAAATCTAAGATCATAAACCATAAAAATTCTACAAGATAACATTGGAAAAAACATTCAAAACATTGTCTTGGTTCTTCGTGACCAAGAAACCAAAATCAAACACAACAAAAACAAAGATAAATAAATTGAACTTAATTAGACTAAAAAGCTTCTGCAACGCAAAAGAAATAATCAGCAAACAGACAACACATAGAGTAGGAGAAAATCATTGCAATCTATGCATCCGACAAAAACTCATATTTGGAATCCACAAGGAACTTAAACAAAACAGCAAGACAAAAAAAAAATTCTATCAAAAAGTGAGCTAAGGACATGAATAGAAAATTCTTAAAAGAAGACATACAAATGGCCAACAAATATTTGAAAAACTGCTCTGCGTTAGTAATTATCGGGGAAATGCAAGTTAAAAAGACAATGAGATATCATCTTATTCTTGCAAGAATGGCCATACTTTAAAAATCAAAATATAATAGATATTGACATGGATGTGGTGAAAAGGGAACACTTTTGCATTAATGGTGGGAATGTAAACTAGTATAACCACTGTGGAAAACAGTATGGAGATTCCTTAAAGAACTAAAAGTAGTACCTCCATTTGATCCAGCAATCCCACTACTGGGTATCTACCTAGAGGAAAAGATGTCATTATATGAAGAAGACATGCACATGTGTGTTTACAGCAGCACAGTTTGCAATTGTAAAAATATGGAACCAATCTAAATATCCATCAACCAATGAATAAAGACAATGTGGCATGGAATACTATCCTGGCATAAAAAAAAAATAAAATAATAGGCCAGGCCCGGTGGCTTATGCCTGTAATCCCAGCACTTGGGGAGACCAAAGCGGTTGGGTCATCTGAGGTCAAGAGTTCAAGACCAGCCCTGTCAACATGGTGAAACTCCATCTCTACTAAATATACAAAATTTAGCAGGGCATGGTGGTAGGCACATGTAAGATCAGCTACTCGGGAGGCTGAGGCAGGAGAATCACTTGAACCTGGGAGGCAGAGGTTGCAGTGAGCCGAGAACGTGACATTGTGCTCCAGCTTGGACAACAAGAGTGAAACTTTGTCTCCAAAAACAAAAACAAAAAATGAAAAGAAAAAATTATGAAATAATGGCATTTGCAGCAACCTGAATGGAGTTGGAGATTATTATTCTAAGTGGAGTAACTCAGGAGTGGAAAATCAAACATTGCATGTTCTCACTTATAAGTGGGGGCTAAGCTATGAGGACACAAAAGCCTAAGAATGATATAATGGACTTCGGGGACTCGAAGGGAAGGGAGGTAAGAGAGTGAAGGAGACTACACATTGTGTACAGTGTACACTGCTTGGGTGATGGGTGCATAAAAATCTGAGAAACCACTACTAAATAACTTACCGTATAACCAAAAACCACCTCTTCCCCTAAAAACTATTAAAATAAAGATAATTTAACACCTTTCCATCACCACTTCATCAAATGAATAAGATATCAGTATGAAAATAGAAGAGTTAAAAAAAAACAAATAAATATTCGACATTTATAACCAATTAACAAAATATATATATTTTTCAATTGGCAAATGTTACCAAACATTTAACAAGATACAATATATGATGAGTCATACATCGTCTCAATAAAGTACATTCTCTGATCATAAGCATATTGTTAGAAATAAATAAAAATAAGATACTTAGAAAAACACAAGCTATCTGGGAAAGAAATCATGCACCTCTGTACATTCTGTATCTAATGTTGTTTTAAAAATTCCTTATATTGGGTGTGTGTGTGTGTGTGTGTGTGTGTGTGTGTGTTATTAGACTTACCACATGTCAAACAAATATATTAATCTTTCACAGAACAAAGTTTTCCTTGTATTTTTCTGTCTTTAATTTCTACTTTTATATTTGCTGTTGCCATTTTCTTCTTCCTTTAGTTTTAATGTAATCTGTTTTTGTAGCTTATTGTGGATGTTTCGATAATTGATTTTGCATTATCTTTTTTAGGATCACTACACAGAACTATAAATATTTTAAATACTACTGTGTTTGTACAAATTGTGGTACATAGTAGTATCATTATTTTTCAGTACGAAAGGTTTTCCAACTTCTCTGTGAATTTTTTCTTTGATTCAAGTACAACTTTAAGAGAATGCCTTGAAGGAACACAATGTCTGCGTCATTTAAGGAAAAAGACAATGATAGAGGAATTAATAGTATAATGTTATAGTTGGGGACTTTTGATACATAGTAATTATTGGTACTCTTAAGTCAACTTTTCTGTAAGTCTGGAATTATGCCAAAATGAAATTTATAAATTAAGCCTTTTACTCTATTACAAAAACACTTAAATCAGGAACTCAAGGATAATACAATTTTAAAAAACTTATGTAAGCATGTTATATTAAAAGATTAAGGACGAAGGATTATACGATTACCTCCACAGTTTCAGAAAAATACACTAAAAATAAATATTTACTGCATATTATGTTTAAAGCAAAACATTAGAAAGATATCTTTTATTTTGGAAACCAGGATGCCTGTTATGACTAATTTTAAATGGAAAATTTGAGATGATTTTCAATAAAATAGCAATAAAACTAGGAAGTACATAAAAGAGTGAATATCAAGCAGAAAGAATCTAGATTATTTTGTATTGCAGAAGTCATAATGATATGGTTAAGATAAAAAGAACTAATAAGAATGTATAAAACAGGGCTAATTATAAGGTCAGCATTAAACAAATAACATATTTCTTATACATTATCAGAAGAAAAATGAAAATTATATAAGAAATTCATTTTACTATAGGAAATTTATGTCTACATACAAATTACCTAGGAATAAATTAACAATAAATACATTGGAATATAATGTGTTAAAATTTACTTAACTATGTGAAAGAAAAAATTAGCTATGTAAAAGAAAAAAAAGAGAATTGCTTTTAATGCATGGTGTAACTCAATATTTAAAGACCTCAATTATTTCCAGTTTCTCTCTGTCTCTCTCTCTCTTTTTTTTTTTTTTTTTTTTTTTTTGAGACAGGGTCTTGCTCTTATCTCCAGGCTGGAGTACAGTGGTGCGATCTCACTGCAACCTCTACCTCCCGGGTTCAAGCGATTCTCCTGCCTCATCCTCCTGAGTAGCTGGGACTACAGGCACACACCACCACATCGAAGTAAGTTTTGTATTTTTAGTAGAGACAGGGTCCCACCATTTGGCCAGGATTGTTTCAAACTTCTGACCCCAAGTGCTCCATCTGCCTCCGCCTCCCAAATTGCTGGGATTACAGGCATGAGCCTCCATGCTCGGCCTTTACTATTAATTCACAGCCATATCAGTCTGTTCTGTTTGGATACTTTTTGAAACCTAATAATTTTTTTCTAAAGTTTCTGTGGAAGACTAGATGGGTGGAAGTGAGAATTACAAAGAAACATTAAAAAAGAGTAAAATGTTTTACCAATTTTAAGGATCCCTGCCTATACTTATAAAAATATGATGTTTATCTAAACATATGATAACCATGTTATTTCAAACCAGATAATAATGATGGAATAGCAAAATTAAATAATGAAAGAGGAAGACGAAATATATGTATTATAGTTAAGATTTTGTTAAATTTGGTCTTTCAAATCAATGATATTATTCAATATAGTTTATAGCACACAGATGTAAATGCTGTACTATGCTGAAACAGTTAAGCATTTGTGCCCTCAGTCAAACGATCACAGATCACATCCATCTATGATATGTATATGATAGTGAAAATCCTACCTCACTGAGATAATTACTTGTTGATTTAATTTCTGCTATTTTCTCTTACTATATTTGTTGCATATATGTTTTTAAATAGAATTCATCTTGCCTGTGTAGTGCATACACATGAGGTGTGCACACACACACGTACACATATGCCATCATCTGTGTGCATAAGCATACTCAGGTACACTTGTTTTGAGTTTATGCTAGCTGTATAAAAGTAACTTCTAGTTTTTCATGTTTTTATTTTGAATCCATTTATATATTAAGGAAATTATGTATTCTTTCTTTTCCTTTCTGAACTATGAATTCTTGGCCCAGGAACTTTATTATAGGAGTTCTTTGATGAAATTTTGATAATCTTCTCATTAATTATTTGTATGGCAAATATTTTAGTATTGATTTCTTCTAAAGTCAGTTTTGATGATTTCAGACCACATATTTTTAAAAATGATTTGAGATTGGCACTTCATTTTATGGTTTATAAGTTTATATTGAATATGTCATTAATGATAATTCCTGTTTTTTCTGCTAAGTTTTCCATATTCTGTTTATATCATTGTACTTTTTGAATAGCTAAATATATTTTTAAAAATATTCTTATGCCATAGAAGAAAAGATCCTAAACACCTTTTGTGTGATTCATATCACTAGTTAGAATAAAGATAAAACAAAGACAATTTTAAATTCTGTTAACTTATGATCAAATATTATTTCTCCACACCAAAATACCAAGTGAATGATGTGAAGTGTAACCCAACCATTGGCTATGTTTCATGTTTTTGTAACACACTTGTTTTCTTCAGCACAGTATTTGCAAAAATTGTGTGCGCAGTCATCAGATACATTTTCTGGGCCTGATTTCCTTCCTGATGTAATTTTATGATCATCCATTTTCCAATTTCCTTTGAAATTCACTCATTTAGTAAGAATTTAGTGAATATATTCTGTGTACACTGCTTCATACTGAAATTGGTGATTTAAAAAGAAGTTAAAATGTATTCTTTATTAATACTTTCTGGGAACATTCATTGTACATGTGCATCAAAGGCATGCACATAGGAAGAATCTGCAACAATTTAATTTACATACAATATGAACTATAAAAATGTGTGATACAGAAAACATGTCAAAAATAACAAGCTAGCCCTACAGGAAGTAAATTAGAAAGACAATGAGAATCTGTACTTGGACTGGACATTGAACAATAAGTAAATTTTAAGAGTCAATGGGAATAGAAAGACAATTGAAAAATTAGGTATATGAAAATAATGTTTTTTGAAAACCTCTTTTCTGTTTTTATTCCAATAAAATGTTAGTATGTTGGTGGAAGATAAATCTAAGAGATTACCATAGAATAGTAAATATGTATTATAGACCTTAATGGTTTTCTAAATGTAGAAGTTTATTATATGGTTTAAGTCTGTATTTATTCAGAAAAATGCATTATTCTTATATTTACTTTCCCTGATGAGTCATTTGGCCTTCTTTTTAGAAACGTATATTGGTTATTCACATTATATCAACCACATGTATAAACAATTGAAGAAAGTTGTAAACAAAAAAAAAATTGCTCTGATCCTCACATAATTTATATTCTAGAAACAAAAGATACAGTTTAATAAATAAGTCAAATAATATGTACTTCATGACAGGAGATATTATCCATGTCAAAGTTTCATAAACAATCACCTGGATATGGCCATGCAATGCCAATATATGTATTGTGGAAATATAAGACCTTCTGTGTGAAAAAGAATTGAAAGGAATCCTGGACTCAAACGAATATGTAAAAAGTTTTTATAGAGTGTTAAGCAGGAGATGATTGTCATTTGAAATAACAAGTTATAGGTGGGAATGGAAAGAGTAAATAGACCAAGGAAACATTTGAGGGAAATATACTTTCTGATATTATATTTATGCTGCAAGGGAACAGAGAAAAGTAATAAATAATTATTTTTCAAATTTCTGGCTTAAAAATTTGTTAATCCAGCTCCTGATACAGGGGATATTAGTTAAGACTAACTGCTTTGGTTGCCAGGTAAAGAAATTCTACTTTGTCAGGAACAGGCAGGAGTCAATATACTGTGGTCCACGGCCAAATTGATCTTGCCACCTGTTTTTGTAAATGAAGTTTAATTGCAACACAGCCATATCCATCATTGGAGCTTAATAGTTGCACCCAAACTGTATGTTCCATAAAAACCTAAAATATTTGCCATCTAGCCCTTTACAGAAGATGCTTACTGACCTTGGACTAAAACAGAACAGTAAAGTTCATGAGTGTTCACGTGTTTTCAGGTGTTCAGACAGTGTCATCCGGACTCTGCCTCTGCATCTTTCAGTTCTGCTTCAACATCGGCTCCTGCTTCAGTAGGCTGTGAAGGTGCTGCACTGAGACAACATTACCGTATCCATTTAGAATCGAAAGGGAGTAAAGGTTGTCCAACATTTTTAGCAAAGTTCATGGAAGTCACTCTCTGTACTGAGTTCTGGATTTCATGGCGTCTGTGGAGTTATAGGTGGAATAAAGTCATTCGGACTGAGGATTTGGAGTCTCCAAAGGAAAATCATGGTACTATTATCACCCACACCTGATGTCCAGCATATTGGGAACATAGGAGAAGCATAAGGTCTTGGAAAGAGAAAACATTTTTAAATTTTAGTCAGAATGAGTTAAAAAGATACAGTAATTTAAAAAGATGAATACTCATGCAGAACGTATTATGAGCTAGATAAAGTTTTGGTCTTTGGAGAATTTTATCTATATTGACTGTATTACCTCTCACAATGCTGCTGTGAGAGACATATCTCCATTTTCAGATGAGAAAATTGAGGGAAACTGAAGATATTCAGAAATAATGGCAACCAACTAATACTATTTATTTACTATTTGCTAAATAATTTCCTAAATAAATTTTTAAAGTAATTATCTTCCCGGGCAATGCATAATTATTGAGAAGTCACTGTTATAAGCACCAAATGCCTAGCTATGTACAAAAAGACAAAGTATCTGCCATCTGGGAAATCATGCTACTATGACATGATAGTAAACAGGTAGAAAAAGTTGGCTTTCAGTACTTAAGTACCATCAGCAAAGTATGATGGGAGGCCTTCATTTTAAATGAATGCTGCATGTTCGGCCCAACTCCTTCTAAACATAACTGATACATGAATTGATATCATACTACATATTTCTGTTTTCGAGTATCAGCATAATTTTGAGTGGAGAAAAAATATACATACACCTTTATCTGCAGTGAGATGCTCCCTCTCTCTGTGTAAAGAAAATTGAAATAGAATTGTGTTGTTTTAGAAAAGCAAGATTAAGTTTCTTTTGTTTAATAAATGTAAATTATTTACTTATTGAAAGTAGGTAACGGGAAGATCATGATCACAGCTAATGATTATTGAGTCCTTGAAAAATACTGGATAGTCTTTACTTAAATCATCTTTAGATTAACTGGCATTATTATAAACCTATTTTACCAGCATGGAAATTCCTGTGGTCACCTGGCCCTTAGTGCACCATGTGCTGTATAGTCAGGATTTGAACCCAGTGAGATACAGCTAGAGCAGCATGCTTCCACTCACTGCACCATGATGCCTCCATAGAACCCCATGGTTTTCATTGGTGCTGCTTGTTCTCTTGTCTCAACTGTGAAAACATCTGAGACTTTGCAGCTGCCTCAGAGAAGTAGAAAGAAAATTGCAGTCCCTTTCCTGATACTACCAGGGATAGGAAAGTGACTGCAAACATTGAACACAATTTTAAGAGTAAGAAATGCTTCGACTCACTGTTTCCTGAATCGCATAGTGCAGAATATGAATTCAGGCAGTGGCTGACTTTGTCCTCCACCTGTGTAAACAAGGCGGTAGACTCCAGGAGGGAATCTGAGATAAGTTTTAAAAATTTTTTTAATTATTAGTTTTGTAACCTGTGACACCTGTATGTGCAGTTTCTGTGGCCCTCTTTAACTCTAAATGGATTATGGAGCAAGTTGATAAATAATCCATCACCTAGAAAACCGTTATGCAGAACAGGCCCCATCTGTGAAAGAAAACAAAAATCAACTTCATTAATGTCTATGTTTTTGGAAAGGAAATTCTCCCTTATGCTTTTCACAGTTATGTAAATCTCAGGCACAAAAAAAGCCTTTTCATAAGTATTAGCATATACTTTTTTTAAATAATGAGAATGTTTTAAATGTTACAATTAAAATATAAGGAGACATAATAGTTAAATTTCAATAATACATGTATGTACAAAGTAGTACAAATCATATGCTGTAATAGATGGGAACACAGTAATTTGGTTCAGAGTATTTAGAGCATGTTCATTAATCTAGATTAATACATTGCATGTTTAATTTAGATAGAAATAACATTTTTATTTTATAATTATATAAGAACATAGCTATTTTTCAGATTTATACATTATTTTCTCAGAATCTGAAACTAAAATTTAGTTTTAGCTGTATTGTCACCTTGTTTTTTCTTTTCGGAGATATGTAGTTTAGGTCAGCTTAGTAATATCCAGAATTTACACATGTAAAATTTAGCAGGATTTTAAGATATACCGATACTCTCAAGAAAGTATGAAATAAATGACAAATTAATGAAAATTAATAATAAAATAATACTAACAATAATCATGGAGAGCACTGATCTTATTTTCCTTGAAATACCAAAGAATTGGCACAATGATGGGACTTTTTTTAGATTAAATGATCTAAATAATTGCTTCAGTCTTCCATTATGCTTTCCTAAACTAGATTCTTAGGACTTTATGATATGTGGTAGTTAAGAGTATACAGAGGGGAAGAAATCACATCCAGTAAGTTGTTTGCTTAACATACTTATTATAGTTCTCACTTATAAGCTAATTTAAGCAATTTTTTAGGTATACATATTCTAAGCTAAATCTAACATAGCTTTATTTTCTGATCTCAAAGAAGATCTTAATTCCACTGAAATTATTGTTATCAATATCATGTTTCATATGCTTGTTAATATTTAGATATTGTGATACCTACATACATACATACATATTTGATAAAATATAGCAATAGATATACCTAGAAATACATCTACCTTTTTTAATGAGGCTTTAGCTCATGGCAACTTGAGCACAAAAAAAGGATGACTGTAGTATCCATAGTTGCAATATACAGGAGTAATCCTACTTCATTGAAGTACCTTTATGAAAGGATAGCATTGTACTACATTAAGGGTCATAAATTATCATGATACTGATGAATGGATTTGTTAGAGAAAATAAGTAAAGTGGTATTTAGTATGTGAGAATCAGTTAGCACTCAAAATTTTATTTTTTTCACTAACTTCTGTGAAACTTTCTATTGTTTTCTTCTGGGATTTGACTTCTCCATTTGGCGAGCTGTCATTTTGACAGGGGTTAACACCAAAGATCATCTTTCCGGAGGGCCATTTTACTGGCAAGCTTGAAGACAGCTGTGGTGGGATTTGCTTCACATTAAACCCAGTTTAGAGGAGAATGCAGAGTCCCCAGGTATGCTGTTAAAGCAGGGCATGCCAAAGTAATATCTTGCTTGGTTGCCACTTTGAACTGCTTTCTCTTTATATTGTTGAAGCAGATTTTTTTCCCTCCGCCATTAAAGGTATTAATTGTAAGTGCTTGAGAAGCACTTGTCACAAAGCACCTCTGCTCCTACTCCCATTTATTTAGTTGTAGCTTTCAAAACATAGAGAAATAACTGTTTTTTTGTTTTTATATAACAGCACTTTAAAATGTTTCTTTTATGCTGTTCCTAAACAATGTCATAAAGTCATCTCCATTAGAGATCTTTCTGCTTATTTCAAACATCAAAAATTACCATATGTGTTGAATAATTTTCACACTATATGAAAGCTTCACGTTTCCGTACAATTTTTCCCAATCTAGAATTTTGAATCTACATGGTTTAAGTAGCCCAGACCTTTGGTACCCAGATATGGATGAATTAATCATCAATGACTAATACATATTTTATATAGTTTGAATTTTATTAATTTGTATAATGAAGGGAACTTCAGCCTGTTGTATTCCATGGGAAATCAATCATCTTATGTACAGTGTTTACTTCCCAGCTTTGCAACTATAGTGGCTGGAAATGATAAAGTAGTTCCCAGAATTTCAGTGTTAATTACAGTGTAGTACATCATTGGGACCCTTGTTTTAGAAAAGAAAACCTTTTCAAGATTTGTATTACATTGCCATCTACTTGAAATGTAGTTTAATTGTATAAGAAATACATTTTTTTACAATTTTGATTTTGAGTATTTTCCTACTAAACTATATCAAAGATATTTAATGTTTTCAAAACATGTTTTTGTAAACGTGTTTTGAAAGAAATAAAGAAAATGAATCACCCTAATAAATATTTTAAAATTGTTTTAGACCTAGGATATTGTAGCTGTTATTGTGATACTCTGTCAGTTTTTATCTTCGGGGCCTCCAAGAAACTCATTTCCCAGTTTATGAGGAAGACCATTTACAGCTTCATCACTCAATTAGGAATTGCCCTCAACCACAGGAACCTGCATATGTCAAGAGTATGCCCATTGCGTGAATGCATCCTGAGATCCATTGTTGTCCTATGGTGGGGATACCAAAGTTGAACTCTTATAACTCTATTTGGAACTGTGTTGAAGGCTCATTTTAAGTCCAGAGCTGTTTATAGAATCAGCAGAATCCTCGATTGTCACCTTACTGTTTGGCAGCCTCCCCCTCTTGTCTAACCTTGCATTTCTCCCTTCCTTGCAGGTGTGTATCTCAAGAGCACTCCACAACAAAGATTCTGCCTGCAATCCTCCACTTCAAGGTCTGTTTCAGAAACCTGTGTAACACAGTTATGCATAGAGTGGTCTCAGGAAGCTGACTCTAACATGAAAATTTAGATTTGGATCTTTTCCTGACATACTGAATATTCATAAGAGCATATGATACATTTGTCTACCATAAACATGTCATTTCAAAAAATCCTCAAAATTACCTTGTAGAACATAATTTTAAAACTAGTGTGTAGGAATATTTTGTATCAGTTATTCAGTCTTCTTAATATCTGAATCCAAATTAATCTTCCATTCTGCTTTTATTTATAAATAATATGATTTATTGTCAGATTCAATAATTTATATTTTCATTTATTCTAAAGTAGGAAATGCCAGCATAAAAATAAATTATTTGAAACAAATCACATTGTTGTCCCATTTCACCATTACTCACATGTAGAAGATACTGTTTTTAACAAAACTAATAAGAACAGAAACTACCATTTATTAACTCATGCTTACTGGAAGCATAGAAGGATTTTCTTATTTAACTTTCAATCAACTTTTTCATGAACATTTTTGTTATTGACAAATAAGTTTAATTTATCAAATCCTCACAGCAAATTATAGGTGCCATTATTAACAGATTTTTTTTTAAACATGATTCATAGAAAAGATTTAATGATATGGTTTGGATCTTTGACGGCATCAAATCTCATGTTGAATTGTAATCCCCAGTGCTGGAAATGGGGCCTGGTGGGAGGTGATTAAATTATGGAGGTGTAGTTCTCATGAATGGTATAGCACCTTTCCCTTGGTGCTGTCCTGTGATCGAGTTTTCATGACATGCGGTTGTTTAAAAGTGTGTGGCAGCTTTCCCATCTCTCTCTCTTGCTCTTCCTGCAGCCATGTGAAGGGCTGTTCCCCTTTGCCTTCTGCCATGATTGTAAATTTCCTGAGGCCTCCCCAAAAGCTGAGCAGAAGTCAGCATCATGCTTCCTTAACAGCCGATGGAATTATGAGTCAATTACATCTATTTTCCTTACGAATTACGAGTCTTCAGGTTTTCTTCATAGCAGTGAGGAAATGAACTAATTCAGCTAGTAAATGACAAATATAAAAATAGCAAATAGCACAAGAATATACCAGGCAAGACTAGGGGACTCCGGAACCTAAGGATTTCTGAAAGCATAGGTTTTTAAGAGTGTGGAGAAACTAAGTCTGGGACATGTTTAGGAACTCAATTACATAAGAAATAAAAATCATATGTAGACTATTTAAATTTAGAAGAGGAGGAGGAGAGGAGAAAGATGAGGAAGAGGAGGAAGAAGAAGACATTCTGGCTTAGCACATTTACTCCAGTCTATAGGGAAAGCTCAGTTATACCCCTTCCCCACTAACCTTAAGAGGAGCCCTAATGTTCGTAAGGGGCTTTCTCAAGGACTCAAATCCTCAGGGATACAAAATAGGGTGGGATACCGAGCAATAGAGGGGTGTGTGTGTGTGTGTGTGTGTGTGTGTGTGTGTGTGTGTATGTTAGACAAATAGATGAAAAATGTTATTTTGCAACATAATCATTTTGTTTGGAGTCTCTCTTTTTCTCTCAATTTTCTCTTTCTCTCCCTCTCTCTTTTTCTTTCTCACTTTCCCTTTGCAATACTAGTGAAGTAAGGCAAAATGAAATGAGCATGGGATCTTTCTCTAGCTTGATAGATCGTTTGTTATTATTTGTTTCTTCATTACAAACTGCCCTGTTAAACTTAGTTCATGGCTTAAAACAAAATAATTTGTCTTGTTCCTGAAACTGAACTTTGGGCAGGGCCTAGTGTGAAGGTCTCATCTCTGTCTGTGTCAATCGGGTCAGCTGAGGAAACTCCACTGGGGTCACAGGTATAATTTTCAAGACAGCTCACAGATGTGGGTGATGGATGCTGTCAGTTGGTACCTCAGCTGCAACTGTCATTCAGGAGCCTCACTTCCTTTCCAAATGAGAGTCTCTGCAGAACAGCTTATGTTCTCCATGGCATAGTGGTAGTATCCTAAAAGCAAGTCTTCCAAGGGACAGGAAATAGAAGATGCTAATCTCTCTCTCTACCCGCCCCCCCGCACACTTTAAGTTCTGGGGTACATGTGCAGAATGTGCAGGTCTGTTACATAGGTATACATGTGCCATGGTGGTTTGCTGCACCTATCAACTCATCACCTAAATTAGGTATTTCTCCTAATGCTGTCCCTCCCGTAGCTCCCAATCCCCCAAAAGGCCCCAGTGTGTGATGTTCCCCTCCCTGTGCCCACAGGTTCTCCTTGTTCAACTCCCACTTATAAGTGAGAACATGCAGTGTTTAGTTTTTTTTCTTGTGTTAGTTTGCTGAGAATGATGCTTTCCAGCTTCATCCGTGTCCCTGCAAATGATATGAACTCATCCTTTTTTTTTTTTTTTTTTTTACAGCTGCAGAGTATGCCATGGTGTATATGTGCCACATTTTCTTTATCCAGTCTGTCATTGATGGATATTTCGGTTGGTTCCAAGTCTTTGCTGTTGTGAATAGTGCCTCAGTAAACATACGTATACATGTGTCTATATAGTAGAATTATTTATCAACCTTTGTGTATACAGTCAATAATGGGATTGCTGGGTCATATGGAGTTTCTAGTTCTAGATCCTTGAGGAATCACCAAACTGTCTTCCACAATGTTTGAACTAATTTACACTGCCACCAGCAGTGTAAAAGCATTCCTATTTCTCCACATCTTCTCCAGCATCCATTATTTCCTGACTTTTTAATGATCACAATTCTAACTGGCATGAGTTGGTATCTGATTGTGGTTTTGATTTGCGTTTCTCTAATGACCAGTGATGATGAGCTTTTTTTCATATGTTTATTGGCTCCATAAATGCCTTCTTTTGAGAAGTGTCTGTTCATATCCTTGTCCACTTTTTGATGGGATTGTTTTTTTTTTCTTGTATATTTGTTTAAGTTCTTTTTTTTTATTATACTTTAAGTTCTAGGGTACATGTGCACAACGTGCAGGTTTGTTGCATATGTATATTAGTGCCATGTTGGTGTGCTGCACCCATCAACTCTTCAGTACCCATCAACTCATCATTTACATCAGGTATAACTCCCAATGCCTTCCCTCCCCCCTCCCCCCTCCCCCCTCCCCCCTCCCCCCTCCCCATAATAGGCCTCAGTGTGTGATGTTCCCCTTCCAGAGTCCAAGTGATCTCATTGTTCAATTCCAACCAATGAGTGAGAACATGTGGTGTTTGGTTTTCTGTTCTTGCGATAGTTTGCTGAGAAGTTCTTTGTAAATTCTGGATATTAGCCCTTTGTCAGATGGATAGACTGCAAAATTTCTCACATTCTGTGTGTTGCCTGTTCACTCTGATGATGATTTCTTTTGCTGCACAGAAGCTCTGCAGTTTAATTAGATCCCATTTGTCAATTCTGGTTTTTGTTGCCATTGCTTTTGGTGTTTTAGACATAAAGTCTTTGGCCCATACCTATGTCCTAAACGGTATTGCCCAGGTTTTCTTCTTGGATTTTTATGGTTTTAGGTCTTACATTTAAGTATTTAATCTATGTTGAGATGATTTTTGTATAAGGTGTAAGGAAGAGCTCCAGTTTCAGTTTTCTGCATATGGCTAGCCAGTTTTCCCAACACCTTTTAAATAGGGAATCTTTTCCTTGTTGCTTGTTTTTGTCAGGTTCATCAAAGATCAGATGGT